CATAAAACACAACCCACGTAGACCTGTGAAAAAATATTTGACATACCCCTATCGCGAAATATCTCCCGGAATCAATCTCTATCAAGGTTATGTCGTCTTTATGAGGATTATAGCTTTCGCTTTACCAACCTTGACATCTTCAACTCTAGCCTGGTTCGCGGGCGTTGGACACTCACTAAACAGTTGCGGTACAGTGTACCGCAAAACGTGGCGCAAAATCATACAAGGTGTTGTCTTCTCTATACGTAGTAGTAATACCTTAATGCTACTCTCGTTTCTTTTACATTCATATACCCACACGTACATGCTCGTCGGTTAATGGTACTTTTTATTATTTTGTTAATTCAAGGTTGTTGTGAGCACCGAGGGAAGACGCTAGTAAATCTAGAAATCAAGATCAAGAAAATAGAATTTTCATTTCCGTTCCCAAATCATGCTTTATGAGCGTACGATTTTTGTAAAAGTATGAGGGACCACAGTTTATCTTCTAACACAGTATATCTTCTTAATTAGTGAAATAAGCTTTACAAATTCTTTACAAAATACTGTCATCACATTAACTTCATTTTTAAGATACCTTCTGAGATCTGACTTATAGACCGTGTGAACCGAGGGACCACACTTTTAAGGGCTACAGTTTTTAATATATTCTTTTACAAATTCCAGGATTCGTTCTACAATGGAGAAGATAACAAGGTTACAATATTAGACTTTTAAGTACGTAGATAAAAAGTCTAGACCAAACACATAATTCTAGTTTTTATTTCACATCGATCGGTGCACTATTACCGAAGTTATAAGCGTGGAAAGTTTACGTACATTTCTAAAATCTCGCCCGTGTCCGCGAGTAGCGCGTGACGTCATTCGTTTCATGCGGCCGCGCCGCCATACCGTTCCAGCGCGCCGATCATACGTTTGTAGTAATATTTCGTGGGTGAGTTGTTTGCCCTCGTTCGCTTTGGTGTTTTTAAGTATTTAATGATGGTAATGTTTCAAAAGGGCCAATCTGACAACCTTCCAATAGTCCGTGACGTTATGGTGGCGGAATATTTTCTAAGAAACAAAGATTTTGTCGCGGCTGAAATACGCGGAGTCAAAATGAAAAGGTAGGTGTAAGAATAAGATAATATTTTTATAACCTAGGTACCCATTATTACATTAATACTTCTGGGTTTCATTTGCTAATGATAAGAATAGGTTCAGCCTCTCGGTCTCGTCTGTGAGGTGGCTGATTTCAGCCAGTAAAAAATTAAAATTAAATTTATTTAAACACGCCATTAAAACAAGGTCGCATTTCGCGGCTAAATTCGTTTATTTCTTTATCTTTCTCTGTGGAATAAGAACTTTATCTTTCTCTGTGGAATAAGAACGTGACTATGTTCATTATGAACTTGGCTGTATGATATACGTTACTACTAGTAACGTCTATAGAAAAAATAAAAAGAATCTTGTCATTGTCATTGAAGTTCCGTTGATTTTGTTGAATAAACGTGTGATAATTTTGCTTTTAAAATTGTGAATTACATAAACATATTTTTTAAGTTTGAGGCGACCACCAACTAGTTTGTACCTACTTCACGTAGTTTTCCATATCGTTTTCGACCTAGAACAAAATACAAACTTATTTAAAGTCTATAAAAAAATAAGGAACCTCGTAATTTGTATTCCATCAATATTTAAAATATGTACCAACTATGTAATACATAAAAATACGACAACACGAAAAAAAATTTAAGTGCTCCACTTCATAATCAAACTTATTCCATTATTTGCGGCCCGCAAGTATGAAAGTTGAACAGCTCTGCGTGTGTGTTTAGTTTTTTGCTCGAAATATAGTAAAAATATAAAAACGTTTGTTAACATATTCCATATTTTAACCTTTATATGCATTATAAACATTTTAAAATTTACTGCAAACATAGGTAGGTATCTAAACTTACGAACTCACGACAGGTCATTGACTTATCTACATTACATAGGTACTTTACCCAAGTTTGGATGTTTATTTACACTGAAGTAGTTTTAGGTAAATATGTAGGTATTAGGTATTGTTTCTTCATGAAATTATAATGATCATAAGCGTGGAAAGGTTCAATGAATCGTTAGTTACTTAAACACTGCAATCGAGGTACCTACATGCCTAATAGAAAGCATTTACTAGCAATAACCAAGACCTATCATGTGAAGGTTATTATTATTTGAATACTTACATCGAAATGATCCTCACAACAAAATGCTACCGTGTTCGGTCCTAAAGGATGTGCTCTTCTCATAACATTTGTCCATTTTTTTCTGATGGTAGGGTTTTTGGCACATTAAAAAACAACTTTTCAGGTGTTTTTGTGGCCATATTTTTACATTGAGGCACAGCACAATATTTAATAGATGGTGTCATGTTCAACTATAATGTTTCTTGTTAAAAATAGATAGATAGATCCGCATGCGACGGGCACATTCGAGTAAATGTTTTGATTTTCTAAGTGCGCGTCGGGTCGCTCGCACGAAGATGGAACTTGTGACGTCATCAACGATGTCGCGCTCGGCCCGCGGCTTAGATCGAAAATGTAAACTTTGCGCCTTTATATCTCGGTCAGTTTTGAAGATAGAAAAAATTTAAAAACACAGTTATTCTCATAATTTTTTGTAGAATTTTTTGGCATATAAAACAAAAAATGGTTATCTTCTCCATTGTTTTACAGTTTTAGGTCTACTACTAAATCTTTAGCAATTAATTTTGCAAATTTCCTTCTCTCTAGGTCCTCTCAGTTCACACACACACGAATATACTTGTTCGGTTACCTTTCATAATGTAACACGCACCACCAGAGCGAGAGCTCAAGTTACAAAGAATCATACTAATTGAAAATGTTGCGAAAATGCCGATACGATAAGTTATTGAGCGTTACAGGGCCAGAATTGAAGCCGAAACGTAAATGAGAATGATTACGCACCAAGCAAGTCTATAAACACGTACAGGATCATCTCCGCCGTTTGAAATGAGTCGATTCCTATCAAGGTTATTTTGCAAGGCTATTAAAAACAAAACATTCTAACTTCAATAGAGAGCGGTAAATGCTTGGCATCCTATAATCATAACATAAAATTAAATTGCAACCCAAGCATACAACTAACTGCAAGATTTCAAGATATTATAAGTTCTTTCCACGTAGATTGGACCAAAATTTAATAGTTTTTAACAAAAGGCAGCCGTGGTTAACAATGACATTTGGACATCGAACACCTGTCCCCTCTTGACCAAAGGTTTTTATAGGAGAGGGGGCAAACGAGCATACGGCTCACCTGATGGTAAGTGATTACCGTCGCCCATGAACAGCTGCAGCACCAGGGGGCTGCTCACTCGCCGCCTCAGGAACCTACCACCTCCGCTAACCCTTAATGGCCAGAAGATCGTGTACGAGAAGGCCGTGACCTACCTTGGGTGCCGGATCGACCGGGCGCTGCGCATGACTGCGCACGTCGACTTCGTCGTCCGCAGAGCCAGATGTGCGCGGGCGATGCTCCGTCCGGTCCTGGCATCCAAGCTAACACTTAAGACTAAAGTGAAGATCTATAAGATGCACATAAGATCCATCATCACGTACGCTGCTCCGGCCTGGTACGCGCTTCTGAGCGAGCCTCTGAGGCGGCGACTACAGGCCCAGCAAAATTTGACGTTAAGAACCATTGTCGGTGCGGGTCGCTACGTCCGGATGACGTCATAGCGGCCAACCTCAAGATGGAAACTATTCAGGACTTTGTGGCCCGGTTGGCACGCGGACTGTTCGACCGCGCAGACAACGGGCCACACTTACACCTTAACAACTTAGTGCCGCTACACACTCGCCCACCGGACTGGCGACCCTATCCAAGAAAACTCCTCTCTATATCGATTAGAGAGTCGAGTAACAACCCACAATGCCGCTGATAGGCCAACTTAGACACCTCTAGATAACCTCCTTTTTTTCGTAGTCTTAACCAACTATGAAAAAAAAATTCTACCAACTACGGACTAAAGCCGAATAACCTAACAACGCCTGAAACGGCTACCAGGACCGGTCCATAGTAATGGCGAGGACAACCCGGGTGATGGGGGCATACCCCGAGGCCCGAGACCTGCAGGACCCAAGTAGACCGTGCAGACGACAACACCAGGGGGATTGCAGATTCGTTGCCGGCCTTTTAAAATGGAATAGGCTCTTTTCTTGAAGTTCCCTAAGTCGTAACGGTCCGGAAAAATCTATGGTGGTAGTTGATTCCACAAGGAAGTTGTGCGAGGAAGAAAAAAAGGTGTTGTAAAGTACTTGAAACGTCGGAAATATAAAATAAACGCCACAAAATTTGTAAAATCTAGTTTACGGCAATGTTTAGTGTTTGCAAACATATAAGAAATCATCAAAATGCACTTTCATAACACCGGTAAATGAGCGAACTAAATCACTTGTTTAAATTCACGAATCATGTTATTGAGGTGAAGTAAGCCTAAAGTAAAGCCTAAGTAATATTATTAAGAAGAAGTATTATGCACTACCTTAATGCCTACTTGCCTTAAATAAGGCTTTATCTTATGTCGCCGTTGAAATAATGATTAAACCAAGGCCCTTTATAAAATCATCATCATCATTACAATCCTTTATAAGTCCTGAACATATCTACAAGAAATGTTAGATTCAAAGTCACTACCAATAAATGTCAAAATATTTTTAATATTACATATTTGCTTCGTTGTTCATAATGAGTACAGCAAAGGAGTGGAATAATTTGCCAGCATCTGTCTCTACATGCGATTATAATGTAATAAAAAAACAATCTTCAATGCGAAAGTGAAATAGGCTTTTGTTAAGCTAAGTCAGTACGCTTTGACATTTACGGCTATATCATGACTTACCATCAGGTGGGATAATGGTCAAGCACTGGTTTGTAATAGTAAAAAAATATACAATATAACATATTTAAAAAAAAACATAAGTTTATAAACAAATAAATAGGTTTATTAAATGTTTTCACTTTTCATAGGTATACACCATTTGTAATCCCAAGTTAATGTTCATTCCGTTTGAGACCAATTCAATTTTTTTATTAGTTATGTCAACTTTTAACACCGAGTTAGTCTCTAACTTCACACATTTGTTCTCATGATCGCCGATGACAGGTATCTTCCTTGGTCCCAAAATTGGGTCTTTATATCTCCAAAGTTTCAAATTAGTAGCATCTGAAAAGAGAGTTTTATCAGATTATGTATGTTGATAAAAAGAAATTAATACATAATCAGGTATCATGTTCTGGGCAACATGATGGACTCATTCTTATTTCTAAATGAAAACCTGGACCAAGCTATGGTATAAGACTCTAGCAAGTCTATTATATTACAAATAACTGTTTAAGCTTTTACCACTCATTCAGAAAAAACTTTTGTCTTGCTAAGTACCAACCAAAAACCCAGCAGTTGTAATAATTTACAATTTAGACGATAACTCAATTCACAGAATTTATTATCAAGCATGTGTTCTTTAATATTATAATGACTCACACCAAGAGATACCGAGATAAATATATATACATACAAGCAGGTTTTATTCATATGAAAAACTTTATTACCAAGGTGGAAATATTAAAATTCTTTAAATAAAATATAAATATATTTTTGCTTACCTTTGATCAACTTGACTTCTTTGGCAATCTTCGCTTTGAGTTTGTCTACCGTGTCGCCGTCAACCAGGCACACAGAAACTGTGAAGAGTCCATTCAATGGTGTTGGGTTGATGAACGTGACGTCAAGTCCGGACTCGGCGCTGAAGTTGATGTGCGGGCCGCCGGGGGCGCAGTCCTCGCGTGTTTTCTCCGGAGCCTCGGGATTGTCCGTGTATTTAACTTCGATTGTATCGAGCTAGAAGGAAATATAAAATTTAAAATTACACATCACAACCATTTTGCATATAAGCCTTAATTTAAATTGCAATCCAATCCTCATGTACACAATAAGAGTAATTTCAAAAGGGTTGAACCAAGTTTCAGTCATCGATTATTGGACTATTTCTTTACTTAAATAAAATTAAACTTGTGGTATACCAACAGTGCAGCTATATGCTGCAACAAGGATGGGTCAACTCGATAGGGCCTGACTCTCACAGAATACCAGCGTGAAACAGTAGAATAATGCTGTGTTTTGTATGGTGAGTGTAGAGATCGGAATACCCATTTTACTGGTAACAAGGCATTGCATCTGTCCTCAGGGATGTCAATGCATCTGTATTTTGATTCTTAATCATTGGTATGTAGAAGTCTATGTGCCGCAGCATTCACTTACCATCAGCTGGACTTTGTGCTCGCTTGTCACTTTTATACCTACTGTAAAAATATTATTTAATTAAAGTTTTAATAATTCTAATTCTGAGTTGGAATGGTAACACTACATTCTGTAAATGACTACACAGCGGAAGAGGCTCTGCACCATGCCAATCTATTGGATTATTCTATCTATATAAAAAATAGAGCGCCTCACAAACGTTAAAAGCAATTACGCATATATCGTTTGATCTCTATGCCACGTCACTCAGTCGCAGAACCACGAATTTGGGGGACATATACTTACATCCAAAGTACTGAGTAAATATTGCTTATTCTCGAGCAATACAGCGGCTTCATCGAAGGGTAAGGCCACAGATAATGCGTCAGCTCCCACTCGCTCCATGTTCTCCCTGGTCGCTTGCACGAAGGGCATTACTCGCTTCATATACTTTTTGAGTTCAGGAATCTCGGCCAGCTTGCTTGAAATGTTCTTGTTGTCCGGTAAACCTGAAGGCTGATCAAAAAAGAATAGTTTAATTTTATTTTTAACCAGCAAGCGTGATAACAGAAAATTAAAATTAAACTCTCAGATGGTTAACGCTCGCTGTAAATACGCGTAATAAGTAATAAGTAATAACGCGAGTTACCCGGGTTCGACCCCGCCGGCACCAATGTTTGCAATTGCAATTTTAAGTGCTGATTTACCACGTGCGCGGCGGCGAGGGAAAACATCGTGAGGAAACCTGCATGTCTAAGGAATAAGAAAAAAAATATTTCGAAGACATGTGAAGTTCGCCAACACGCATTGGGGCAGCGCGGCGGACACTTCCTTGCCCTAAAAACCCTCTTAGAAATGAGGGGAGGACTATAACCAGCAGTGGAACGTATTTAGGCTGTAACTTTACGCTTGCTGTAATTGTAAAAAATAGATTTAATATTTAAAATTTCTCTTTGTATGGAGTTTTGCGAAGGCATTTGGAAGGGTTTTGTATGGTCTTTGCGACTTTCTTTTGGTGGTTTTTTTGTTGTTCACAATTTGAAATGCATGCTCTATCAGCGTTCGGATATATGTTCTAAGATTTTGTGCAATGTGTGAGAAGTCAGATGCTAAAAGATTGCCTGATTGCATACAAAACGCTGTTTGCCTTAATAATGCTATGAAAATGGTAATTAAAGAATTAATAAATTAATGTGTAAAGTTTTCATCAAAAAGGAATGATCACGGCCGGTGCTGTTGATTCTAAGAATAGTTTTCCATACTTACACCATTGAGTTGTTTCAGGGTGCTTAGTATGATGTGCTGCCACTTGGGATATTCCTTAGCCACCCATATCACTGCCTTGTTTGGTTTCTTTTCAGATTTAGGAGTTTCTCCCTTCTTAGCCTTTTTGGCGGCGCAATGATTTTTCAGATAGATGCGGAAAGAATGGGCGGCCTCCATGAGGTATGTGCTCGCTTTAACGGCCACCTCATCTATTTCGCCCGCAGCTGGCCAACGCGAGTGCAGGATACTTTTTTCCTATAAAAAAATAAATTATATAAGCATCGAGAATAATTGGTTGAGTTCTTAAGTAAATTAAGGACGATGCCACACGGTGTTTTGCGACGTACGTACGTGCGCGACGTACATAGTACACGCAACAGACCAGGCGGCTAGAGACAAAGCGGGGAGGGATGAAGCGATGCGAGATCGAATCAACAGCGCAAATTGAAATGTTTGTTGGGTGATCAGGCGTTTGTCAACAATGTCTTTGCATTGTTACGTCGATGCAAGCGTTACAGTGCGACACGAAAAGTAATCATATACGACGCAACTCGTCGACAACTTATATATTATTGAAGTGAAAACTTCTTTAGCGGTGTTGTACACTTTTTTGTAATGGGTAAAAAATGTTAAACTCGCGTCAGGACACGTGACCCTGATCGAAAATTCGTAAGACGGATGGAGAGAGAGAGACAGCCGGCGCGGCTTAGGAGAGAAAATATCCCCCTCTTTTTTTACGGCGCGGCGAAAATGTATGCCTGCGCCTGCTGTTTCGTGTGTGATAATTAAAGCAATTCGTGCAAAATTATTCCCTAACCATTCCAAAATATCAAAAATGCACAACGTTAATATTCAAGTTTTCACTTCTTCCGGCATTCCCGGAGTGCAACCCGTCATTTTTTTTATATACTAAGGATCTGCTCCGGCTACGCATGGGTGATACCTGGTCCAACTATGCCTATAACCATCGCGGTAGTGCAAGCAATAATTTGACAGTTATACTGCAATCTGATGAATGGTATGGCAGAGCATATAATACGAACAAACAAATATAACTTTTTGTATATTAGATAGCAATAATTTTATAGTCTCGAACACAATTTTTTTTAATCAACTCGTATATCAACAACAGATTTTAAAGTCTACTGCTGAACATGTCGTAATAACAAAGTTTGCACCAGCTGGAGCATTACTTAGATTTACCCTTGCTTTCCACCCTGGGCAAGCTGGTTGGTGAGCGCAAGGCCGATACTTATTTTAATATCTTGTCTACGAAATTTGGATTCAAAGGATTTTTCTCTTAATGAGGAAAATCTTCCTATAACGTCCAGTAGTGATCGGTCACGGCTGATATGAAAAAAATGAATGATGTAGATGTTATCCAGACGTACAGCAGCATCTTAGTGACATCCAAATAATATCAGTTGAGAAGGCCATATACATATACATGTGTCATTGTGTTCACCGAAATCGACCACGTGTTAAACTAATCATTTCGAGTTTCTTATTTCTATAATTGAAAAAGAAAAACGTTAGCCCCACACTAGGTATATCTCCTATATCTTGGAGACTTTACATTCCAGAAAACAATATTTGCGGACACCGCAAATATAAAGATAACCCGGCCAAACAAAACAATGTAGTCGAATCATAAAATGTAGTATTCATTATAACCTATATTATATTTATAGGTGTGGTAAAGGGCGACTACGCGATATGATGGAATTGTTTTTTATTTTTTATTAATCTAAGACAAGCAACTGGAAGTGGCGTTGAAGGTGCGAGACGTCTGGTGCAGCGGGAGGTGGAAAAAGATTAGAAGTTGTAAATTTATGTAATTCCAGTACCTTTATTTATGACCACATATATTAAAGATATTTAAACTACTTACATTTCCTAGAAGTTTCCAAACATGCTCAGCGACGTGCGGACAAATGGGCGACATGAGCTTGGCCTGTACTTCAATATACTGTGTCACCACTTCCCTATGCATCAAACTGTCAGAGCACAGCTCCCTATATTTATCCCTGGCGGCTTGCAGTTCGAAAAAGCCAGTCTTTAGAGCCTCTTTGAAGAGCATTTTGTTGTAGTTCTCATCCGTTTGGTTTATTTTTGCGTTCATCTCGCTCACAAACACCTTGTCATGGAAAATGTAGTTTCCTGAAAAAAAAATTATTAAGTATAATTACATGTTAACGCTAAAAGCCGAAGTGCGACTTCTAAGGTCAGCCAGCGAAAACCAATTGTGGTTGCTTAAACATAGGTGTAATTGATTTTTTCAAAGCTAAAATTAGATTGGTTAGCTTAGGCTTTTAGCCAGAAATGTATATATACAATATGTAACGTAATTAACGCACACCCTCAGACACCCCAATTAGTATATTATGTTATAATCATAATCATAATACATACACTTAATGTTTAGGTAAACATTTTCATGCACTGATTATTTATCAAGTTAGTTATACTAATTCACGTACAAACATGTCACAGTACAAATCCACGAACGCAAAGACTAAACGGGCTTGAAATAAAGTTCAAGTTTCTTTATTTTTATTGAATGGCAGAATTAGTAATATACAAATAAAACTGCACTCTTAAAAGTCTTATTGCCTTAAGTTACGGTCCATTTCAGTTTGTTTTGACTGTACAGATTTAGTGTGACTGTAATTTAGGTAGTTTTAATTATTTTTGGGATAAAGAATTACCTATATTAAAAATTATAGGAATCGATTCAGGAAACGATTCTGAACAAACTACTTTCTCAAAGTGTGTTAATTATGTTACGTGTTGTATATATATATACATATACATTACATACATATAGACATACATACGTCACAATATATATATATATATATAGGTAAGAATCAGCTGAATAACCACCAACTTGCCAAGTGTGGCAGGTTGGTGTTTATTCGTACTTTAGATCGGCTGTATTTCTGTCATTAGTTTGGTAAGGAGATTTTACAAAAAAATTATATAAAGATGATATGCAGTGCGGGTGTAAGGACATATATACTACCCCATATCATCCCGTGGGTATCGTAAGACGCGACAGGAGGAAACAAATCAGGAGATGAACAGCAGCATCTTCCCAATAAACACCAAAATAAAAAACTGAGGTTGCCAAACCACTTGGTAAGTGCGGCAATTATATCAAATATCTCTTTTATGAGACAAAGGCCTATGTTGAGCAGTGGACTTTAATAGGCTGTGACAATATGTATTTAATGTAGTATTCAAAGTTAAGAACCACACCATTATTAATGCGACCCATAAGTTGAATGAGATTTTTTACAGTATGGACAACTCACCTGTCCTTAGGCTAGACTTTGTAGCCATAACCTCTTTCACCCATTCAATGAAAGTGTACAGTCTCAGTATTGCAGCATCAGCGGTACTCTCCACAAAATTTGCGTCTTCCACCGAGTCTCCAGCATCGGCCAACGTCAGTCGCATACCATCCGCGCTAAACTTTTCTATAGATTCCGACAGAGTCAAAAAGTTTCCTTCTGATTTAGACATCTTAGCCGAGTTCAACATCAAATGACCATTGGCTCGAATCCCTTTAGGCCACTTGTCCTCCTCGTTAGGCCAGATCGCACAGTGGTTGTAAATATAATATGTCAGATGATTTTGAATGAGATCCTTGCCTGATACTCTGAGATCGACTGGATACCTGTCGAAAATTTAAATTTTTATAGAACCACGAAGATTTCAATTCATAATAAAACAAAGATTATAGTGGATCTCATAGAATTGATGAGATTCATATACTAACAGTCCGGTTTGAAGGGTATTATAACCAGTGTAATTACAACTGTAGGTCATTCCATCTTAGTCCTCAGAGATGATAACACATTGTTTGCCTTCTTTGTTTGAAGTAGGCAGCATGTATCCATAGATTATAGCGGCCACTTACCATCAGGTAGGCTGTAAGTTCGTGCCACTTTAGTTTTATAAAAAAAAGTTCTGAAAAAAAAACATGTGTGATTGTTCAGTGTGAAACAGTTCACATGCGGTAATAGTGAAACCTTCAAATGAAATGGAATATAAAATAAAATTATTTCACGGCAAATTATTTATTTAATATTATTTATTATTAATATTATAATTTTCAACCACGAGTGCGGCATAAAATATAAGATAAAAGTTTAATTTTATAGCAAAAGTTGTGTTGCTGCCCTAACAGAAACAATTGTGAAAATATTGTTTTAAATTTGGAAGTCATATATAGTTTAATTGGAAATGATAATACATTCATTGAAATTGAATCATATAATATAACTTTCAAATAATTTTGCCAGTACAACACGCGCGCCACTGTTAGTTAATTGTACTATATCTCTAATAATCTTCGCGCAAGTGCAATTATTAAGTTGACCAAGTTTTACCGCAATCTGACGAACGATATGGCAGTGCATAAAATATGAACAAACAAGTTTTTACATATTAGGTAAATGTTATAATCCTTAACGAAGTTGAAATCCTGATTGTTATAAATGGATTGGTATAATAAGATAAATTTTATTTATTTCATAAATTTTGTTAATTTTTTTTACTGTTCATTATAACAGTTAAAATGTATATTATAACCATTATTAAACCACACAAAGAGAAGACTGAAACAATAGGAAACACTTTATTTAAAAAACTATACTAGCAATAGTATTTTTTTAAGACACAAAACAGTAGTAGAATGGTGGATTCAAACCCACAACCTTTTGAATTCACTGCCTACACAGTATTCTATCTCATTCTCTCGCAGACTAAATCCTATAAATGTATATGTTGTCTCTTTTTAGTGTAGCGTTTTCGTTTTATTGAGTTACAAATCAAAAAGATTCTAAAGAAGTTTTCGCTTTAAAAAAACTTACTATAGAATGAAAACAAATACAAAGTAATCAATATCTAATACATTCTGAGACTGAGCAAGCAATAAAGAAAACAAGAAAAAAAAAAACATTTTTTAATACTTCTAACTTCACTTAGGCAATTTCAAATTTTTTCGGAGTATAAGGCTGGCAAACGAGCACACAGTCCATCTGATGGTAAGTGGTTGATGCGGCCCAGAGACATCTACATCTATCCTCCATAACGAATCAAAATGTAGATGCGTTATCACTCGTGAGGACTACGATGGAATGCCTAGTTTCCAGTAAAAAGGGTCTCCGGTTCTCTACACTCACCATACGAAACACAGCAGCATTAAGCTGCTATTTTACGCTGGTATTCTGTGTGAGCGTGGTCTTTCCCCAGTCGAGTCGACCCATTCCTGCTACAACTTTACCAGTACTATAGCTGCGGCATGGCTCTAACACGTAAAAAATTATCAGATTTAATATTTTGTAAGATCTTACCAAAACTGGAAGGAATTCTTCATTAAATTTAAAGATTCTTTAGAGATTTTCGAGTTCTTTGGCAGAGGAGCATCTTTGAAAAATATATAATCCCAAACTTCTGGAGTCATATCTTCTGGTTTAATTTTGAGAGCATTATCGCTGGTACCTCGGAAAGTTCCACCTTGCAGGAAATGAGCCACCGTGTAGTATGCATTGTAAATGGTGGAATCTGATAGGGATTCTATTACCCATTGAGGGTCCCAAGGTAGTTTTGTTCCTGAAAACATCAAAAAATATTTCAGTGATATTAAAAATTTCTTATTATTAAAATAATATTACGTAGTTGTATAATGCATAAAAGTAGTCTCTTCGGCGATAGTGGATAAACATTATGATACATCTCGCATCAACAACTGTCGCGTGAGTTTATCTATGACAGGCGTCGCTTATTGCTGCAAGCACTGAGTTTTGTGGTACGAGGCTCGCAGCTGTTGTAAAGCGCGAGCTGACGCGGCGGTTTTTAAATTATCTATCAGCAAAGCGGGCCGCAATTTGTAATGAGTTAAGGAGGATGGGACTATCTTAAAATTCTTTCTTAGTGAACGTCTACATTGCGAAATGAGTAACTATACTAAATTTCAAGTCAATCGGCTGTACAGTTTTAGAGATCTCGTGATGAAAATAGTAATAAGTACTAGGTTACACTACATTATCAAAACATAAAAACCTTCTTGAAGACGTCATTAAGTATATGAATACTATTTGGGAGCTTCAAATATTGCTGTTCCCAGCGACTTCGTCCGCGTGGAAATATTACAATTGGATTTCATGGGCTTTAATTTTTAATATTATATATATATATATATATATATATATATATATATATATATATATATATATATATATGTGTGTGTGTGTAGAATATATACAGAATGGGTCCCACATATATGCAATAAATGAAAACCACAAGTAAGTAATACTAGTCCGTAGAAGTGTAGAAAAATTAAATATTAAATTAAAACCCGTAAAATAAAAAAGTGAAATTTTCAAACAAAATAAATATTAAAATAAATTCAGTAAAAGTGAACACTCTGTTTAGACAACGTACCTTGACCCCTTGGAAGAGTGACAACGTTGCACGCGGGTGGCACGCCGACAAAAGACACCGCTGTCGATATGTCGCAATACCAATAGTTTACATTGCGTGGCAACGTCGCTTTTTAATGTTCAAGGATTTAAGTTCATTGAATCATTGACTTAGTGACCCAATTCTATAGTGTTCAAATTTGCTTAAAATTAAAACTCTACTTTCTGACCTAATTACTGGACCGATTACGTTCATTTTTTTGTATATCGTCAGCAAAGGCGATAACAAGTATATGGTTTCATTTATTGCATATATGTGGGACCCATTCTGTATATATATATATATATATATATATATATATATATATATATATATATATATATATATATATATATAAATAAGGTGCCAGCTAGGATCGAACACAATTTGCTCGCTAGAATTTTTTTTAAAAACTTACATAAAGATTTTTTTAAATAGATTCACAAGAAATACAAAGTTAAATTGGCCTAAACATACCGAGACCATAGGTCCTTGAGCATGCATACTCATGCAGCCAGTTAAGAGTGGCTTGAAAGTTTTTCCTGACCTCGTCGTGGTAAGTGTTAATCGCTGCCAAAGCTTTTTCCGCCTGCGCTTTCCATTTCTCCTCACCATAGTTAAGGTACCATTGGTTACAGAGAGCAACAACGCATTCATCGCCTGATCTCGACATTATCGTCTTTTCTGGTTCGTAATAAATGACTGCGCCATTTTCTTTTATCAGTTTTGCTTGTAAATTCTTTTTCACATCCTGAATTTTACTTCCCTTGTATTCACCAACTAAAAGAACTCCATCGTAAAAACCTTTTAGATAAACCATCTCCTTCGCTTGGGTTAGTTTCTCTTTATCATTCTGACTTTGTATCTTCAGTTTGTCATACACATATACAGCAGACAAGTTTCCATATTCAGGGATTTCAAGAATAGGGACTGGTTTGTAAGGAAGTATCATATCATCTTCGATGCCATACTTCTCTCTGAAAGCCGGCTTCTTCTGGAGATCTACCAATGCTGCATAATCATCGGGAGAGTCTGATGGAACACTAGTTACAATGCCTGTTCCTTTATCTTCTTTTATAGTTAACATTGGTAGAGAATATATTTTAGGGTAACATGTCAAAGGTGATTTCAGGGCAATACCAAGTAGATCTTGGCCTAAAATTTCCTTTTCTACTTTGAAGTCTCCATCTTTTACTGTAAAACCTTGGTATGACATGTTCCTGGCTGCACGATTAGTGCATATGAATATGCCATTATTCACTGTCTCAAAGGCTATATACTTAATATCAGGGTGAATCCAGCAATTAGTCTGCCCATACATTGTTTCTGGTCTTAGCGTAGCAGCAACAAAACTAACAGGTTTTCCTTCAAAAGATCTACAACAATCAATATGAATTAAAATCAAGAAAAGCAGCCAAAAATATAATTTTAACTTATATCTAATGTAAGTATTAAAATAATAAACAAAAATACTAGAGAAGCCGCGAGTACTTGTAATACCAATTAATCGCCATTCCTTATGGCGAAGTGTCGACATAAAAAAAGGAATATAAAATATAATTTATCTGTAATCAAATATAAATATCACGCTTGTAGTAGATAGTCTTGAACTTACATTTATTATTTATTAGTAACTGTAATCTAAATTTTTTTAAGGTTATGGGAAAAGAAAACAGTGAAGTTAAAGAAATCAGACTCATGTTATACTGATTTTACATTTTTAAATGATAACCAACCCTTTTCTTGTACCTAATTTATTAAAGTTTGATTACTTTTAAGTCTATAGTTTTTCTGTTCATTATTTGAGAAAACTATTCGTCGAATGTCGAATAATACTAGCTATTATTCGGTATTCTCGAAGTAAGAAACAAATGCCGAATAATAGCGAGTATTTTTGTGTGTTATTTGTGCAGACGTGCTGTGAACTTCAATGAGCCTCAGGTAGAATAAACGAAATTGCACGAATGGGGGACTCGTGTCCATCTTTTTTAAGGAAACGCGGTTTGAAATAACTTATGTCAGGTTCCACAGAATAATAAATTAAATTAGTAAAATTAAATAAACATTTCATTTTAAAATTTAAATATATTACGAGTATTATATTTACGTACTCAAATGTAACACTGAATTATAATTATTTGTAAAGGTGCATTGAAATGCATCGTTACACTTACGAGGGCTGCACTGAAAGTATCGGGAATGGAATATTTCCCCTGTTCCTGTCATATTAAAATCTTTTTAATTGAAAACTCCTTGGTTTTAAAAATCGAATACCATTTATTTATTTAAAAAAAAAGATTCTCGGTCTTCTCACAAGGTTTTGTCAAACTTGTTTAGTCGATGAGAAAATGGAATTGATGGAAGGAGATATTATGACTTTCGAAGTGGTTTAACACAAAAACAGTGTATTGACCGGATGATTTCAGCATTTGGTGATGAAGCCCCATCCAAAACCACAATTTATCGCTGGTTTGCTGAATTTCAACGTGGACGTGTCAAGCTCAGTGATGATCCCCGTTAAGGTCATCCAAAAACTGCAGTCACCGAAGAAAACGTTGATGCTGTGCGTAAGCTGATTGAGGAAGATCGACGTGTGACATACCGCGAAATTCAGGCAACTTTAGACATTGGCATGAGTCAAATACAAATAATCTTGCATGAACAATTAGGTGTAAAACCAACGGTATCCATCGGGAAAAGTTGTTTTCCCGATGGATACCGCATTTGCTCTGTGAAGAGCAAAAAGCGGCTCGCGTTACTTGGTGCGTCAGAACTCTCGAAAGATTCCACGCAGGATCCTCAAATGCTGTATACAACATCGTATCAGGTGACGAATCCTGGATATACGCGTACGAACCCAAAACAAAAAACCAGTCACGAGTTTGGGTGTTCGAAAATGAGTTAAAACCAACAAAAATTGTTCGTTCACGGAGTGTTGCAAAAAAAATGGTGGCCACGTTTGTCTCCAAAACCGGCCACGTTACGACTATTCCTCTTGACGGACAAAGAACGGTTAATGCAGAATGGTATGCTAGCATTTGCACGCCGCATTTGCATGCATGCCGCATCATCCTCCATCACGACAATGCGAGTTCTCACACTGCACACAGAACAAAAGAGTTTTTAGAGCAAGAAAACATAGAATTAATAGACCATCCGCCGTACAGCCCCGACCTAAGCCCTAATGATTTCTATACTTTTCCTAAAATAAAGAATAAATTACGTGGACAGAGATTTTCATCACCTGAAGAAGCTGTGGACGCCTACAAAACGGCCATTTTGGAGACCCCAACTTCCGAATGGAATGGTTGCTTCAATGATTGGTTCCATTGTATGGAAAAATGTGTCAAATTTCGCGGAGAATACTTCGAAAAGCAATAAATACATTTTTAAATAGTAATGTTGTGTCACTTCCTTGTTTCCCGAAATTTTCAGTGCCGCCCTCGTACTGTGAGCACACAGCTTAACACCAAGCGTCCACAGCTATCAATAACGTCATTATGTTCATAAAAATACCGTAAATTTGTTAATGTTACACCCAATTATAGTCCATTGCTGAACAAAGGCCTCCCCCACAGATTGCCCCATAAGAGGGGTATTTGCCATAGTTGCTACACTTGGCAGTCGGGTCGGAAACCGCAATTTTTTATTTTTAGAAAAACACTGCTACCTATCTCCTAATTTGGTTCCCTTTGTCGCCTAGTAAGACATCCAAGAGACGATATGGGGTATTATTTTTAGTCGTTATTAGAAAAACACTGCTACCTATCTCCTAATTTGTTTCTGTTTGTCGCCTAGTAAGACATCCAAGAGACGATATGGGGTATTATTTTAGTCGTTATTAGAAAAACACTGCTACATATCTCCTAATTTGTTTCCCTTTGTCGCCTAGTAAGACATCCAAGAGACGATATGGGGTATTATTTTTAGTCGTTATTAGAAAAACACTGCTGCCTATCTCCTAATTTGGTTCCCTTTGTCGCCTAGTAAGAGATCCAAGAGACGATATGGGGTATTATTTTTAGTCGTTATTAGAAAAACACTGCTACATATCTCCTAATTTGTTTCCCTTTGTCGCCTAGTAAGACATCCAAGAGACGATATGGGGTATTATTTTTAGTCGTTATTAGAAAAACACTGCTACATATCTCCTAATTTGTTTCCCTTTGTCGCCTAGTAAAAGATCCAAGAGACGATATGGGGTATTATTTTCAGTCGTTATTAGAAAAACACTGCTACATATCTCCTAATTTGTTTCCCTTTGTCGCCTAGTAAGACATCCAAGAGACGATATGGGGTATTATTTTTAGTCGTTATTAGAAAAACACTGCTACCTACCTCCTAATTTGTTTCCCTTTGTCGCCTAGTAAGACATCCAAGAGACGATATGGGGTATTATTTTAGTCGTTATTAGAAAAACACTGCTACCTATCTCCTAATTTGTTTCCCTTTGTCGCCTAGTAAGACATCCAAGAGACGATATGGGGTATTATTTTAGTCGTTATTAGAAAAACACTGCTACATATCTCCTTAATTTGTTTCCCTTTGTCGCCTAGTAAGACATCCAAGAGACGATATGGGGTATTATTTTTAGTCGTTATTAGAAAAACACTGCTACATATCTCCTAATTTGTTTCCCTTTGTCGCCTAGTAAAAGATCCAAGAGACGATATGGGGTATTATTTTTAGTCGTTATTAGAAAAACACTGCTGCCTATCTCCTAATTTGTTCCCCTTTGTCGCCTAGTTAGACATCCAAGAGACGATATGGGTTATTATTTTTAGTCGTTATTAGAAAAACACTGCTACCTATCTCCTAATTTGTTTCCCTTTGTCGCCTAGTAGCTTGGGTAGATATTTTTACACCGCCACTATACGGTAACCGTATCATACATCTGTTAAAAACAATTATTTTGTTGAGTATCAATGTGTCTTTTCACACATGAAGTATTTTTACACATTATTTTGTCTCTAAACTTACTTTTGTATAACATTTTTGACAGGATATACGGTACCCTCGATCCTATTTACATTTCCTTCATACAATACAATGCTTATGCAATATGATCAGAGGAAAGCTCAAATTTAAAGTCGAAAACACACATTCAGACCCAAAAACCAACAAATTGTGTTTCTACTGTTCCTAATCATATAACCACTAAGTATTGCCATTTTAAAAAAAGAGAACCAAAGAAAAATTGAACTTTCTAAGTATGTTTTATGCTTACTTTAATACTTCTGGATAAGGTTTTATAACTTCAAGCTTTATTAAAGTGTACTCTTGGGGTCCTGCACCTTCTCCAGTGCTTCGGTCATGGTCCATACAAGGTTGTTTATCTAATGGTGAGAATATTGTGTAGCGTTTTCCATACATTATCTTCTTGCGTTCTTTTAGATGGAAAAATTGCCATCTCACAAATGAATCATAGAAGGGGTTTGCATCAGTAGTAATGAACTTTCTTCGCCAATCTACCTGTAAATGTATAATAATGTATGTTTTATTTTGTAATTTAATTAATGACAACAATAATGAGAAACAGAATAGTAAAATAGACAGTGGTTAATTAAATATTTAAGATATTTATATTTTTGCTTTTTTATTTTTGCTTCCTCCATTGTGCGTCCAGAGTTGAACAAGTACATACATACATACATACGTACACAAACACTCACGCCTCTCACCCAGAGAGGTAGGCAGAGACTATGGACTTCCATTTTGCACCATCTTGACACACCTCTCTCGCCTTCTTTAGATCCATATACCTACGCATACATGCTCGTCGGTAAAGGGTAAAATACTCTTAATCTGGCCAATTTTCAATATATCGCAATTTCGATCGATAAACTTTCATCTGAGTCGTCCCTTCCCGACTATTCCATTCACTTCTGCAAAATAAATTTATTTTCTCACTCTTTATTTGTTCATTCTTTCTATATGGCCAAACGAACAAACCATTGTTTTCTTAATCCTGGTCACAACATCATCTTGCAAACCACATTTTTCTCTTATCACACAATTTCTCACCTTCTGACATAACCCTTAATGACCGTATTTCTACATTTATTTTATTCTCATACTTCTTCTACCACACCCAACTTTCACCATACATTAGGGTAGGGACTAACACACCATTGTGAATTGCCACACGTGCCTTTTTTGATACATTCTGACTCCCCAAAATAGAGTGAAGAGCCCCATTTACATTACATTAATTCCTACGTTCACTTGTCATTCTATATCCTTATCATACTTACCATCCCTGCTAAATACACATCCCAAATATACAAACTCACCCACTTTCTCAACCAACTCCCATTCTATTTTTATTTCACATAACGCTTTACTTTCTACTTTTTCAAAAACCACCACTTTCGCCTAACTTGCATTCACTTTGATTCCCCTTTCTTTTAATGACCTGTTCATTAGTGTAACCATCAAGTACAATTCGGCCGCCGACGATGCATATGACTTGATCGTCGGTGTTAAAGAAGTCTTAATTTGGACTGCCTCGTTGGTCTAGTGGTTGTAGCAGTGCGACTGCTGATCATGAGGTCCTGGGTTCGAATCCCGGGTCGGGCCAAAAAATCAATTATTGAGTTTTTCTGTCAAGAAATTCTCAGTAGCTGCCCGGAGTCAGGAAGTTGGCGGTGTCTCACCCCCGTGCCTCGGAAAGCACGTAAAGCCGTTGGTCCCGCGCCTGATCTTTCTCCCGGTCGTGTCGGTGAGGGAATAGAGAGTGCACCTGTGCTTGCGCATACACTTGGGCACTATAATCCTGTCCTGCGCCGATAGCTAGCCTCCGTTGAGCCAGGCCGCCGTGACCAAAATTCGGTCTGGAGGACATTATTATTATTATTTGTACAAAAATAATTCTATACTTACATGTAACCCCATTCTTTTTAAATCAGTCACAGCTCTCGGTGGAAAGTACTCCAGCCAGTAGCTTTCATTAGCAAATTCTTTTATTTCATCCTCTGGAATCCCTAAACTTTGCATTATCTGCCACTGAAACTTAGCAGCTCCCGTTTTAGCCACAGCTTTACTTTTTTTGCCTTTACTTTTATCTTTAGGAACAATATCTCCTTCATCTTTTACCACAGTCTCTTGGTCGTCAGGAAAAACCGGTGGGCATCCATAAACAGCCATTTCCCTTTTTAACTTATCAGCACACGCTTTTATAGGCATGCCAGTACAGTGGAATCCAAAAGGAAATAGTACCATTTTTCCTTTAAGTCTGTAATATCTTGTTGCAAACTATAAAAAATATTTTAATGTGACTGATTTTAAGGCAAAAACCACTTGATAATACATACTTACACCCTACTTAGCTTATCATAAACCTAGAACAGGCGCCTATACAAAATAAACAAGCACGCGCACAATTTTATCGAACAGTACAGAACAGTAGCATATTATATATCTATTGCATGTTACATTGGGCTAAGGTATTGGACGCGCAACCGCGCGAGCATAGTGTTTTTCAGGGTTTGAAGATATGTGCATATTTTGTTTACTAAATTATATTGCGGATTTCTAACATTATTGAGCTATGCATGACTTGGATTTAGATTTGTCTTCTGATTTTTGGTACCTAGATTATTTTTCTAGCAATGCTATAAACATTACTAATACTCCCTTTAATGTTTAGTGGCAAGCTTAAAATGCTTGTGTTAGAAGTGGTTCACGACAGTAGCGGATGGCGGATTCGAACCCACAATCTTTTGAGTTTGCGGTCCACAAACTGCCATTAGGCTATTATCGCTTAAAAAACTACATCTAAATTCTGCGCCGTAAGTATATACAGACAAGCTATAAATACATACTTACGAGTAATACAAGGAAAAACCTCCAGACTGGAACAAATACTTGTAGTATTTGGACTGTATTTTAATTTTTAAATGAATTCCCGTAACGAGTAGTGCTCCCTTCAAAGGTTTAGCCACTGTGCTTGAGAGTCGTCAATACGTGTTTATGATATTTATATAGGTAGGTAAGGTATGATTTTTGGTTATCAGCAAAAGTTTATTAATAATTTCTTATGTTTACGTGAACACTACACATTTAAATGAAACTAGTTTTTAAGGATTGTATCGCGTATATTAATTTATTTTATATTCCCGACGTTTCAAGCACTTTACAGCACCCATGGTCACAGGGGGACTGAGGTGTTCGACGTCCCAATGTCTCAGTTAATCAAGGCTACCTCCAGATTAAAATTATTAAGTTTTGTTCCGATCTACACAGCATGAACTTATAGTATCTTGAAATCTTGCAGTTGTATGGGATTTAATCTTATTAATTATAAGATCTCAAGCCGATGGTAGCAACCAGGCATCTTCTCTATTGAAATTAAGATGTTTTTATTTCAATAACCTCGCGAATCATCCTTGGAAGGAATATGTGTTCTTTAGCGAGGTTTTGTGGTCTATCAAATCTGATGTACTGACGGGGCGATCTTGTATGTGTTCACAGACTGCAGACTTCCTGAAGTGTCGATTCTTTACATCAGCTATGTGTTCTTTAACGCGGGTTTTTATTGGTTGTTTTGTTTGAAGAGAATGTGGTATACATTCAAAATCAAGCTTGTACACTCCTGCATCTTGCAGAGGAACATTACACTTGACTGATGGTAAAAACTGACTAATCTTTTTGGCAGCTTAAAGTATGTTTTAACAGAAGCACGCTTTAAGATGTAGCCAATCTTGTCAGTCACACCTCTGACACAAGGCAGTACAGCAGGCACATGCTCAACTGTGGTGGGCTTCACTCATTCACTGTGACGTAGGTGCAGAACCTGAAGCTTGTCATGCAAAATGTGCTTGATCTATTGGAGTTGGGTGGCCAGGTGTTTACTGTTACAGATTCCTTATGCTCTCTGAAACAATGATTTACCCATGGTAGCTGTCTCTGAAGGATGATGGTGTGAATCACTGTTTAAGCATCTATCTGTATAGGTCTTTTTTCTATACACAGTGTGGCGTATGGTGTTATCAGGTTACCAAATTACTAACAAATCTAGAAAAGCTAAAGATTTGTTTGCCTCTAACTCTATTGTGAACCAAATTTTAGAATTTATGGAGTTAAGATGGTCTAACAATGCAGTTACTTAATCTAAAGGTAGAATTGGGAAAGCACCTCTATGTACTGCTTGTAGAATCTTTGATTTACGGGAGTAGTAGAGGCTTTTTTTTGAAATGTCAATGGGAGAATAGGTAGTAAAAAAGTTGAGTATATATATTCGCATGTGTTTTCTTCTATTAAGATGTAGGAAGGATGAATTTTAAGGTAGGTCTTTAATTTAAAGTGGTAGGAATCTTTTTGTGTGGTTGTTTTCTCTAGTGAGAGTATTTTAGTTAATGATCGATTTGGCTCACTATAGTACATAGTGGAGCATTGGCAATGAGTATTTTTGGTAACCCCTTAAAACTTTGGTGGTTTGGCACATGTAGGTGTTATCAATTTATATCCAGATTTAATTTTTCGGAGTGTTTATGTCATTAGTTGTTTTATGTATATTATTTGTTGGTTTTCAACCTTTTTATAAGTGCTTATAACCAACAAAAGTTCTTTGTAATTTAGAATTATAATCATATGTATCCATACTATCGTTGCATTTCCCTTATCTGCGCTGCGAATATTGAGTTCTGGTTTATTGGGTAGGTTATTTAACACTATATATTCATCTTTGGGTAGATTCGGTTTAGGCAGTGAATTTCGACGTAACATAGGCGAAATGTCTTGATTATATTCATATATATGTTTAAATATAAAGTGTCCATTAAACACAAGAAATATAACACCAGTTAAAGTAGTAACTGCAAAAACATCTTTTTTACTCCTACAATAGGGAGGACAAGGAATTAAATAAAATTAACTTAAAATTGCAATAACTTTTACCAGATTCAAGGACAACTTTAAATAACGGTATTTAAATACATATTGCATAATCATCATATGGACCCTAATGATAAATAATATTACATTGATGCCATTGGTGGACACCTAAACTATACATACATCCAGCAATGATATAATATTACCAATACTATTACAGGCTATTAAAGTCCACTGTTGAACATAGACTTTGCCCGATAGATTGCCTCATGTTTAGGGATCATGGGGATATTTGTGATAGTTACCACGCTTGGTAAACAGGTTGCAGTTGCCACTGCAGTTTTTTATTTTTAATTGTTTTTAGGAAGATCCTGCTGCTCCCATGTCCTGATTTGTTTTCCTTTGTCGCCTCTTACGACACCCACGGGATGATATAGTGTAGTGGATACACTTACACTGCCACTACACAGCATTACATAAAGTTACAGCCTACATACATTCCATGGCTGGGCACAGGCCTCCAATATCTCTCTAATCAACCACATACAAATTTATAAGTGCGTTAAATTTAACTAAACTGCAGTACTTTCAAGGGATCTACTAAAAAAAAAAACACATTTTTTAACAATCTACATTGAAATCCCAAAAAACAATACAAATTCTTATATGCATGACGTGCATGTCAATATCAAAAATAAAATAAAGATTGTTCTTTAGAATATTAACATGGGCCCAGTACAAAAATTGTATTTGTGTAGTAAAATAACACCTTAAAGTATTATCCATTAGTGCCATATCTTCGAATATTAAATATATTGCCAGAAAACAAATTAAATTAAAAATTTCTATGAGGCGTATCCATAATAATAATAATATATAATAAAATGGCGTAGGGAATTGACAACCCCATCGCTCGGTGACGTAACAGTTAAGTTACAAAACTGCTATGTCAACTCGGTCAGTCAGCGCCTTGCGAGAGAATTGGCAGGCATTTAGGGTGCAAAGGCCCGTTTGTGCTTATGGCCACACACGATACGGTGCCGGGCCTGGGCGTTTCCCGTTAATGGACACCCAAATCATGGATGATGGATAAAAAGATAGTGCGTAAAGGGCCGCTGCCTGGAGGTCGCCAGGGCGCGTCTGGAGCTGGCGCTGGACGTGACAGCATGCGGGCAGCCAGCCAGGCGCGGGGTGCTGCAAGACCACCTAGCAGCTCCCCGCATCCATCATCCCCACAAGAAGGCTTGGTGTCGGCTGGGTCTTCTCGGACTCAGCAATCGGCACCCGCTACTGGTGGAGCACGTCGCATGCGTTGGTCACAAATAATGAACGCAAACGCACTGCGGGCGTACTTTAGAGCAAAAGAGGAAGAAACTGGATGTTTGGCGTATCGGGCTCGAATGCATCGCTTTTTTGCAGTGCTGGAGCTATCTCTATCCTTCACTGAGCAAAACCTGGCAGACCGAGTTCGGTACATCCTGCGCTCCAACATATTTGGTGACGCCGAACTCGAACGACTACGACGTGAGGCTGTTCCCTCATCGAATGGAAACGCTATGGCTGGGAATGCGGCGCCACTAGTTGCGCAGCAAACTGCATATGTGGATGCTGCCGTCAATATTCCATTTGTGGTTGATTCAGACGATGATGGAATAGTCTCCCACGAACTAGAGAAAATGAGGAGCATATTGGAAGAGTCGATGCTGGAAACGCGCAGCATGCCTCTCGAAAATCGACCGCGACTTCCCCGCATACCCCTTAGCAAGCGAAATCCGGCTGTCGTGCGGGCTCTTAACCCAATGCTGGTGACCTATTTGGAAGCCAGCCGGGACCTTTGCGAAACGGACTCAATTCTTTTTGGCGCCGCACTGGCAGTATGCCGTATTATTGGCGCCAAACTTCCCATGGCTGGACGTGCTACTCGACAAAGTAGCGCCATCCCAGCCTGGAGAAAAAGAATCGAGGACCGTATCGCAAAGGCAAGGGCCCTTATCGGCAGACTGACAAGCTTCAGGTCGGGTAATAATAGACCGAGAGTTGTGCGCACCGTTAGAATGGCGTTTGCTGGGACAAATATTAGTTTGTCCCAGCGGGATATCACGCAGAAACTAACAGAGCACATAGATAACCTGAAGCAAAGCAAGCCCAAAGCAAGCAAGCAGGCCCAGGATCGTATCAGGCCAACACTGTAGCATTTTGGCGTGGCCTGTAGTCAAAGACCGTAAACCACAGCGAGAGCCTTTGGATGGAAATTGTGGCGAGCCACAGTGCGAGTGTTACGCCTATGAACCCCGTCACCATAACGCCGGAAGACGTGGCTGAGGCGGTCCGTAGGGCTCCGAACTGGAAAAGTCCGAGGTTGGACGGGCTACATCATTACTGGCTGAAGGGGTTCGTAGTGTGTCACGCTGTGCTCGCCCGACAGTATCAAGGGGCTCTCGATCAGAAGTCGCTCCCGAGTCTCTTCAGTAGGATCACTAACTTAGTTCCCAAAGATCAGGATACCACAGATCCGAGCAAATACCGCCCCATCACGTGTCTACCCACCATATATACGCCCCGACATCCATTTTGAGAATCGCGAGAATCACTCGTCACCTGGAACTAAATCAGGTGAAGTCACGCGCTCAAAATGGATGTCGGGGCGGTGGACGTGGAACCAAGGAACCACTCCTCATTGACGCGGTCATTGGCAAAGTGGTGAAACGCAACTGTCGGAACTTGTCCCCCACCTGGATAGATTACAGAAAGGCATTCGACTCGATGCCTCATACATGGCTAGAGAGGGTCCTCGAGGTGTACAAGATTGACTGTACAATAAGAGACTTCCTCGGGCAGTGTATGGGGCAATGGAGTATGATGCTTTGTTATCTGGGTGAGTGGATGATGGCTGCGGAGAACCACATAAGGATAAGAAGGGGTATCTTCCAGGGTGATTGTCTAAGTCCAATCTGGTTTTGCCTCTCTCTGAACCCTCTCAGTACCTCACTGGAGGGCTCCGGGAGGAGGAGATTTCAGCTACGGAAGGGAGGGACAAAAGTGACCCACCTTTTCTATATGGATGACCTCAAGTTTTTCGCCTCCAGTCTTGAAAAATTGCTCAAAAATGTTCTTTACCAAGTTAAATTTGTTGATCATTTAATATGTTAATAACACATTGGTTCAGCATTATACTAAGAGTTTACACTACATGTGCTCAATTCAAAATATCTGTAAATTAATTGTTTCAGGTCTGAGACAATATAAAGAAGTAAATCTTACCTCACACTTGGACAAAGAGAATGTGTGTCCAAGATGTAAACGTCCATTCATATATGGATAAGGGAAAGTACACAAAAACTTGTCATGTTTTTTCCCATCAGTGGGTGCCTCAATTTCAAAGATTCTTTCTCCCTCCCACTGTTTTTGTACATTCTTCTCAATCTCTTGCAAGTATTCAACTTTAAAAGTACCCTTTCGGTCCATATGAGTCTGAAATATTGTAGTAACAATAAATTTATATAAAAAGTATAACAATGCATGAATATAATATAATTTCACTTTTCTATAATAGTTTTTCTTTTAAAACAAAAATTCTAGACAAAAAACATAACCTACAAATAAAATTACTTACCATTTTAGATTCGTAAAATATATTGGTATTTTTTAAAAAATTAAGTGGGCATATAACAAGATTGTAGTTAAAAATAATTGCATTTAAAAAATATCAGGATAGTAATTAAAACTACATTCCACTCTCAAACCCAAAGTTTTGGTTTAATGCATTCTGCGAAAACATCTGTTTTGATTAGACGATGACAAGATACTCTATGACGATGACGTTTTGAAGATGGTGGTGCAGCAGCCGTAGACACTAGATAGCACAGTAGTGATGGGCGTTGAATCAACAAACGGTTTAAATAGACGGTCTACGTTCAATCGACGCTTCGACGGTCTACAGTTTATTCGTTAACTAGTCGAATTCATAGACGGCTAAACTGAGAGTCCACAGCGTTCTTATCTATTGACAACGCAACGACGACGCCGTAAACATACCCGTTTAATATAAGTGCATGCGTTCGTTGAATTAGTATCAATTACAAACAAACCAATTTAAACCTTAAGTATATGACGTAGGAGTTAATACTTCTTTTTTAATAGAATTGTTTGAGTGAAAAGGCAAGAGCATTCTGATATTGCGCGAAAGAGTATGTCGACGGTCTGGTGGACTATTGTTTACATAAAATTACCGTGCCTAAACGTTGCCGTTGTTTAGAAATTTGAAATTAGTGTGTCGACTCGCGTCGCGTTCAGCCAGTCCTAAGCCTGGAAAAGTACGAAGGTAAGTTTAAATCGATTGATTGTACAATTCGATAGTAGGTATTTATACACCAGTCAGAGTGCTTCGTGCTCAAATCAAATTTCTTTGAATTTTAACTTACTTTGCACTTCATTCAACTGTCGAATAGTGGGCAAAACTAGTTAAGACACAGTTGTCGTCGCGTTGCGCCCGTAGACACCGCGCTTTAGTCAATTGAACGTCTGTCGTTATCGCGTTAACTAGTCGTCGAATTCAACTAGTCGATGGACGGCAATAGACGGTCTAGTTTCGTTGACAAAAATTACGTCGACGATCCACCTCTACAGCACAGAACACTGGTAATTAATTAATGTCACTATTTTTCTCTGTCTACGCTATTAATATGTGGCATCGAGTACGGTACGGTAGTAGGTACTCTTAGTTTGTGGGCATGAAGCTTAATAGAGATGAAGCGCTAGAACAGATCCAGGGACTAAGGATTTAACGAGATTACGTTGCACCTATTCCAACTTTTAAAATACTCGATCTATCTAGTCTCACTGTGCCTACGCGTCGTACTCGTATTTTGTTGCCATAGACTGTAGTTACTAGGCGCTCAACTCGGGTCGTCTTTGCCTAAATCATTAGTTTGTCAGTCATTTGAATTTGAACCAAATTTCAATGCATATAAAAGTAACGTGACGCGCACTCGTGTTGTGTAATAATATATTCTGTCCTTTTTTAACTACACTATTCCGCAGTCTTTCTATCTTTGTCTGTCAATACTCGAGACTCGAGACTAGTCTGCACTCGGGACTTCAACCAAATACTAGTACAACAGAGTACAAGGCGGGCGAGTGTCTGTTGTCTAGTACGGTACAGACTCATGCGAATGTGATCTCGGTGGACGCTGTTTTCATGTTTCCATGACGACAAAACGTAGTATTGGAAACGTAAACAATTTACGTTTCCATGGCTATGTAATATATTTTGATGAATATAAATTATATAATTAATATAAGTAAATGTATGATGCATGCTTTCAGTAGTACAAAAATGCGTTCATTTACCCACATTTACTAATCCATATATTTTATAATCGTTTGTAAGGAGTAAACTTCAGTCGTGCGCCGGAGCTGACAAACTCACTTTTTATTTTTTGTTTTTCAGAAAAATTCTTGATAATTAGATAATTGATAAAATAACTAATAGAAATATTCAGAAAGTACAGCCTATTAATCTACTTAAAACAGAAAATACACCAGAAGCAGCTCTAGACAAAATTAATAACTATTTTGTTAATGTTGCAAAAGAGCTATCTAATAAAATTACATTTGAAGGCAACTCAAGTATTCCAAATATGTAAACCAGTATACACACCTGGTAACTCGATGGTTTTGTTAGAAACAACAGAGCAAGAGGTTGAATCTACACTAATGAGTTTGAGATCAGATAGTGCAGTAGGTTGGGATGGTATTTCCTCAAAATTATTAAAAAATAACAAAAACATTATTGTTCCACCTTTAACACGTATCTTGAACTTGTGTATTAAAACAGGTACTTTTCCGGATGTATTTAAAATTTCAGTAATTCATCCTATTTACAAAGGAGGAAACAGAGAATGCGTTAATAATTACCGCCCGATTTCTGTACTACCCTCCTTATCCAAAATCTTTGAAAAAATTTTAAACAAAAGACTAATATTATATTTAGAAAAAAAAATAATATCTTATCCAACAATCAATATGGTTTTAGAGTTGCTAGATCAACAGCTGATGCAGTTTCTGATCTAACTGAATTTGTAGTTAGTCAAATAGATAGTAAATTTAAATGTATTGGAGTGTTCTTGGATTTAGCAAAGGCCTTCGACACAGTTTCTGTTCCGATTTTGTTGAGTAAAATGGAAAAAGTCGGTATCAGAGGGATTGCACTTGCTTTATTCAAGGACTACTTAAAAATAGGATCCAGAGGGTAACCATTGATGGATATTTTAGTAATAATGCTCCTATTAACTATGGTGTACCTCAGGGTAGTGTACTCGGACCAACTTTATTTTTAATTTATTTTAACGATTTATGTAACCTAAAATTAGATAGGTGCCAAATTTTTACTTACGCTGATGACACTGCATTAATCTTCTATGGAAAAAGTTGGGACGAAGTTAGGATTCATGCTGAATTAGGAATGCAAGCAACGTTACAATGGCTCAATCAAAACCTTCTTACTTTGAATATCTCTAAAACAAAATTTATGTTGTTTGCAAATAATAAACGAGCGCTAACTACTGAAAATTCATTTAAAATAAAAATACACACTTGCAAAAACAAAAGCTCAATTCAATGCAACTGCACATCTTTATACCGAAATGACACAGTAAAATACTTAGGCGTAGTGTTGGATGAAAATCTGACATGGTGCCCTCATATTAATCAGTTAGCAGGGAAAACAAGAAGCTTGGTATATATATTCAAAAAACTAAGACACGTGGCAGACTATTCTCTACTTAAGACTGTTTACTTATCATTGGCACAGTCTATCTTGTCGTACTGTATTACCTCATGGGGTGGAGCCCGTAAAATTCATCTCATAAAATTAGAAAGAGCGCAGCGTATATTACTCAATGTAATGACATTTAAACCATTTAACTATTCTACAGATAAACTATATTCAGAATGTGACGTGTTGACAGTTAGACAATTTTATATAAAGGATACTTTTATATTCCAACATGAAAAACTTACATATATGATCACGAATTAACAACCAATCGCCGGAAAGATAAGGTCTGTCCTACTTGCCATTTTAAAACATATTTTATAACTAAATTTCAATGCTACTTAGGTCCTATGCTTTACAATAAAATAAATAAAATACTACAAATCTACTCGCTTAACAAATATCAATGTAAAAAAACTACTATTGTCTTGGTTAAAAACTCTAAATAAAGAAGAAACTGAAAATTTCTTGGTCACTTTAAAATAACATTACATTAGAATAATTTATCTATCTACTAAAAGTACTTTATCTATAATAATTAAAAATTATTTCACTTATATAGCTATTTATAAAACTATATTTAATTAAGTCTAAATGTAATATAAAAAACCTTTGCAAAAACCATGAATTAAATAATTATATAATATGTATTGACTGTTCACTGTACATTGCATAACTTTTTGTTAAATACCTGTAGAATTACTAAAATTATATATCATATATCTTTGCAATACTTCATTGTAACCTATCACCAAAAGAAGCAGTTCTCTGACTTGTGATAACAATAATCATTTATTGCATTATTAACTAAGAAATTAAAAATGTTCCTATAAACAGTAGTCTAACCTTTCATACGCATAATAAGTTAGTGTGACGGTAATCGCAAAAAAGTGATAATGTATTTACGAATTTGTAACGTAATACATAGATTAGGTGAATCATAATATGCCGTATAATTTTATAATTGTAAATAATGGTGCCTTTGGAAGTGACTAGTGTCTAAGATACAGGCTCGGCCTAGTTTAGACGCTAGTGTACAAAATTGTATAGATAAGTTATAACTCATACCATTTATTCAAATGTCTTAAAGATAAATAATGTAATCCTTACTTTGTGTCAATAAATTATTATTATTATTATTATATACAAAAATTAACTATTTACATACACTATTATATACACTTTTGAATCTATATTTTATTTACATTTAAAAACATTAGTTAGGTTACTTCGGTAACAGACAGCCGTGTCCTTCGATCACTTATAAATATACACTAACTAAACAACGTCCAACACTAAATTAGGTCACGTCCGATGAATACTATGCTTCTAGATCAAATTTGCATTACACGTCCACTCCTAACAGCGCTGCTGCTAGAACTAGTTGCGGCTAGATATTAATAGTGCAAAAACGCCATAGCGCCATGGCAGCTACTTACATAGCACGCACTATGCGCTATGGAGAGATAGCGCGCTATAATATGGCGCTATGCGCTATATTAAACACTATTAACTCAGACGGTAGTTCTAACTCTTTCTAAACAAAAACTTCCACCCCATATTTACTGTTTTTACACCTCTATGCCAGTAGAAAAATATGTTTGGCCACTCATTCAGTGTCATAAATATTGCAGATTTGGCTATGTTACTTCTCAGTGCCGGTCAGCCCTCTGTTTTATACGTGCACAAAATCATGAAGCTTTGTTTTGTACTAGGCAAACTCCAACTTGTTTATTCTGCTCAGTAAAGCCGTTTAAAAGTTGTTTTCAAAATTTGTATTTTGAGATTTTTCAAAATCTACTCGTCCGAATCAATTCATATTATAACCAAGTCTATTCCAC